TATGTTTTAAATACAACTATGCAGCATCCATCTCCCCTCAAAAAACTTTATTTTTCCTTCCACAATTGACCTAAAGGAACATAAACGAATAAATTGCCTCAGTGCAGAAGTCAATTGGTTAAAACTCCCCTTAAAGTTGTGCTTCAATATTAAATTTTATTTATTGTAATATTTGTTTAGGATAGACACTGCAGGGGTGTTTGTATGATAGAGCAGTAACTTGGTACACTTTTTAAAACTCTTGCCATGACCCCTCCTTCTCCTAAGTAGCCATTTAATATATATATTATTTTAGTCTGAGTCTGGGGAAAATAAATTAATATTAAATGTCAGCTACACAGTTGAAAGCATCCAACTGCAGAATTTGGGCAGTTTGTGAAGATTCCTGCAATCATGTTTTCTTCAGCAGACTAGCAGCAGGGTGGTGGCTGGATCCACGGTGTGCTCTGAAGGGCTGTGTGACCGCCTTTTGATTTCTACTTTCAGCCTTCAGATTTGTGAATCAGATCTGTCAAGTTCTGCAAATCCTCGGACAGAGCACAGTTGATTTCTCCCCCTCCCCCCTCCCAAAGTTAATCACCATCTTGGTTGGCTTCCTCCTTGCCTCCCTGACATTTGACTGCTGCTAATTCACTGATTAATCTCATTAATGTGATTATAGCAGGATTTGGAGCTAGCCGCCATTGTTCTGTAGACAGTCCTATTCAGGCTGAGCACTTTCCACACCATTCAGTTTGCTGTGGTTTTTTTCAAAGGCTGGTGGAGGGAGCCATTGTGATAGGGTTTCCTGGCCTCCTTTCAGCACCGGGAGCTGTCCGTGGCAGATAGCAATAGCATCCAGCGGAGGCTTCCTACAGGTTCACTGCCCATGTGAAAATGGCTCACTTTCATCACTTAATGACGGTGCCCACCGAGGTAGAAGTCGAGTGGTGTTTACAGCCACAATTGGATGTTTTGAAGATGATGGCAGCCCAGATCTGTAGCCGATGGTTTTTATTTTGTAAAGACATTGCTGCTGTTACTGCATGCACATGTTTATAAATATCGGACACATGAATCTGCCGAAATAACTCATGTGATTTGGGGCTCTAAAACTATTGTAGATTACAAACATTACTACTTTGGAAGTGGATGCTCTTTACCTCAATGCATCCAGTTATTAATACAATTTAATCTTTTATTTATTTATTTATTTTGAAAAGATGAACCAGGGTTACCTGGTTCACTAGGGCAGAAAGTACACCTAACAGGAACATTTCTGCGGAGTGAAACTTGCACCCAGAACCACAACCATTGCCAGGTTCATGGATCTGTGTTTGAAGCTGAGGCCAGGGCTGAGGCCCAATGACTTGAGAACACTTATGACTGATACACAAAAATTCTTAAAGGAACATGAGCCTACCTACAGTTTTCTTGGGAATAGATAGCTGTATGAGCTCAGGTTAAAAGAATGTAGTTATGGTGGGGGGAGGGGTCAATGCTCATTGATATGGCATCTTTATTATTTCTGCCATGTTTTTTTTTTACCCAATTTAATTTAATTTTTACTCTTTTAAAAATTTTGACTTCTATTCATTGTTGCAAACTATTGCATCCTCTGATGATACCTGTTCATTTTCTTTACCAAATTTAAAAAAATAAATGCAAATAAAAGATGTTTTGCAATGTTAAAATTTTTTTAAGTTTTTTTCTATTTGTTACTATTCTACATAGAATTATCAAATAATGAATTATAATCTAAGTATTCATTTGCTTTGTTAGCTCTCTTTAGAAACACACCACATGTACAACTTTAAAAAGATGATTACATCTGAGGGAAATTTTGATGACAAAGTAATATTTTTAATGTCACATGTCTAAACCAGACATCCCATGTCTATCTGCAAGCTAATCTACTTTGATGGAGACCTGTTGTTTTAAAAATACATATTATCCCTTCTAAGACACTGCTTACTTACTATGCATTTTAGTGGCTACACTTTAATCTCCAAACAACTTAAAGTTTTAGTCACTCTTGTGTTAAAAAAAAAAAATCCACTTTATGGAACAAGAGAAAATAATGAGGTTACCTGGGTAGGAACCAATCTGCCCTGAACTTGAACTCAACTGGCCGCCCACTTTCCTCAAGGGCCATGTTTTCTAATCAATAACTAGCTTTTCAAATGCATCTAATATTTGGCCAGAAGGTCTGCGGAATCCCCCAGAACCCTGTCCAGGAAGCAAATGAGTAGCAAGCGAAAGAGCTCCAGGCTGCTCTGCTCTCTGGCAGATCACTCCATAGCTGAGCTCACTGCAGTGTCCTTTCAACTTTTTAAGAATCTCTCTCTCTTTTCCTTTAAAATTGGGTAGCATTCCTTGACAAGAGCAATAGGAGGTAAACTTGAGCAAAAACTCACAAAACAATAACGTGTCTCACAAAGCTAAGTTTCATACCACTGCATAATACAGTGCCCCAACTGACACCCATCTATATGTATTCCAAACTAAAGATAGCTGCTATCACAAACTTAAATAATAAAGTAGTGTATGTGTGTTTTATTTTGGTGTGTGTAGGGGTGCAGTGATATCTAAATATCATATATGGCTAGTATTTTTAACAAACATTTTAAGTTGGCATATCCCATACATTAATATATTGCCTAAAATGATCATAATTGGCATTGGGAGTAATATTAAGGATTCTACTTCTTGCCATTTATTGTGTGTTTTTTTTCTGACATCAGATGATTTTAGGGAAACATCTATACATTTTCCCATCAGTGGACTACGTTTCAATGCTATGTGACTCAGTTTGGAATATCTTTTGTGTTCTCTCCCTTCCTCCTTTCCTCTCCCCCTCTCTCTTCTGGTCTCCTGGCCTCTCTTTAACTCTGTCCCTGATTATCTCTCAGCCTCTCTCTCCTGTCTCCCTCTCCTCCACACCTGCATTGTTCCAGCATACACAATGACTTTTCTGTGAATGTTTTCACGATGAAAGTGTTTTTTTTTTTTTTTTATTTTATCGTTGGCATTCTAATGAGCCCTCAGGGTATCTGCAGAAGTAATCAGAGATGGCAGAGAAAATGTAATCCAGGTGTTAGAAAACTAGAGAGAATGCATCAGTGCTTATTTATTGTATGAAAAAGACACTGACCAACCCTGCTGCCTTGGGCTGCTGGGTAGGAAGGAAACATTGCAAATGCTATAGCTCTCTATAAAAGAAAAAGGCCCATGTGGGGATTATTGGGGGAGTAGAGAAGGGGAGGGAGGTGTTCTGATGGCAGTGGACAGTGCATTGTCTGTGAGAAGATGGAGGGGCACTGGGTGTCCCCAGCAAGCCTCCTTGTGGAGAGCTGTGGAGGTTTCCGTCAGGGCACTGGAAAGGGAGCAAGCAGTACCCTGTGTAGTAACCACGCACCAGGCAGATGCTCTTCAGAGGAATTACCTCTGAGAGCAAGAAGAGGGTGTTCCTGGGACCTTGGGGCTGCTGTCAGTCTCCCTCAGAAACCAGCCTGCACTGTGCCTATGGAGGCCCCCAGTGGCTGATCTGTGGGCTCTGCCTTGCACTCCTGTGCACAGGGCTGACAGCGCTGGTCCTGATGGGAGGGGTGGAGGGAATGCAAACACAGAGGGATCTGTGACCACACGTGCCTGGGGCTCTCCATGGCAGCTGAGGAGCTGCATGAGTGAGACAGACTGCTGAGGAGGACTTGCTGATGGCCACCAACTCTTCTGCAGAGAGGTACCTCTTCCCTTTCATTTAAAGGTGACATGTGGTTGCTTATTTGCCTGGCTGTTGAAGCTTCCAACTCTTCTGAGTAATTTCTGATAGTCTCTTAAGTACTTCCCACAGCCATTTCTCCACCTGCCTGGACACCTTCCACTCTTGTTTGGTTGCACACTGTGACAGAATGGCATGGTTTGGGATACAAAGGGCCAACAATGGGTTTTCTTGGCCACAGCTGCCCCTCAGGTAAACATGCCTATGGGCTGCTGGTCTGAAATCTTCCCAGAGTTGTTCTCACTAGGAGTCTGGATATTCAAGCTAGCTTCCAGGAGAGGGGAGGTACTAAGCAGCCTTTATGATTTAGTGTGCCTTTACGGTGTGCTGAGAGGCTGGTAAGGGAAGGGGGCAGCTACTGCCACAGAAAGGCATGTGTTGCTTGCCTCAGTAGCCATTTATAAAATCAGCACTTAGAAAAGTAAAACATTTTAAAAAAAAAAAAAAAAGGACAAATGCTACGGAAAGTCATATAGCTGTGTTTTCTTTTGTGTTTTTGGCATCCTACTGGGTCTGCTCTTTTTTAGAATAAACTTTTTCTGTTATCTTTTCTTCACAAGATACTAATGCTGGTATCATGGGCTGGCAGTGCTCAAAGTTACTCAGAGAATAGTTCTTCCTCTTGTTTTAAGGGAAAAGGATCAAAGGAGCCTCTGCCAGGATGGGATAATGTAATGTGGCTGGTAAGCCAGGGACACTGTAGGAACCCCTTCGTTAACTCTCTGGTGCCCGTTCTCCAGTCTTAAGAAGTGGCAGGGAGGCCTGGGTGCTTTTTGTTTGTTTGTTTGTTTTTGTTGTGATGTGTAGCCGTAGTTTTAGTGAAAACACCAAGGTTCTGCTGACTTTGGTGAGGTTTCTTGGACCACAATATGCATTTACCATAACGTCAGCGATAGGGGAGATTTTCTGAGATACATCACCTAGCGGGTAGCAGCCAACAGCCAGCCTGCGTATTTACAGTTCTCATCTATTACATTAAATACAGCACTGCACATCATACACTCCGCTCTAGAGATTTAGAGGCCTGTGGGTACAGTGTAGGAAGCACACAGCACACATTCCCAATCCTGCCTCACTGCCGAAAGCCTAGTAAACAGGAAGGTTAGAAATTACTGGTTTTAACTCACAGCTGTTAGGTTGAGAAACATCTAGATCAGCGATGAAGTTAGGGTTTGAGGAAATGGCTGCGTTTTGTGTTGCTTAAAGGACAGCAGCCCCGAGCAGGGTAAGTCAGCAGGATGCTCCCGGTGTGCCTCTGCGGCAGCGATGTGGTCTCTAAGGAAACCTGTGCCTGATGCTCGCAGCCTGGGCAGTGCTGGCGGCCCAGGGCCGTCTGCCTGCTGCCTGCTGATGGAGGCTGCGCCGCATCCACCAGGCAGGGCTCTGCACGCATGCCCGTCTTCCCCGGCGTTTAGTGGTGTCAACTTATTAATTTCCATCTTCGACTTCAGGCCTGTTAGTTTCCTGTCTGAAAGCATTATTACTTTTGTCCATGTGGCAAAATAATTAGCATACAGATGAGAAGTGGCCCCGTGTCTGCGCGCCGATAGAGAGAAGATGTGCGGTTCGAAGTTGATTGGATGAATGGAGAACAAATGGTGGGCGTTCAAACAAGAGTTTTGTAGTCGCGGAGCAGGCTGGAGAATTTTCTGGGTGAGTCCCTAAGATGGAAGGCAGGGGTGGCTGCCGTGGGAACGACTGCCTGTCAGAGGCTGGCTTAGCGGAAGGTGCGGAGAGGGACTGCAGGCGCAGAGAATCCATTCTTCAGGTTTCTCTTTGAAATCCCCTCCAGGTAAATGCGTCCTGTTGTTTCTGCAGCCGTTGCTGCGCTTCCCAAAGTGGAGCAAAGTTCAACTCTTAAGGGCAGTAACAAAAGAATAGTCTTTGGCTGGTGCGTGGGGTGGCCTCTTCATCCATCTTCCGTGCAGAAGTGTGAAGTGGAAATTAACTGTTTAGAGATTAGTGTTTTCAGAAATTTACAGCAGCCATTATTCAACGTGTTTAATTAATATTTTCTAGGACAGTGTATGGAGACCAGCAGAATTAGCAAATGTTTTTTTGATGAAAACCCAGATGTAATTAGTTTTGACTAGTATATATTTTTCCTAGCTGGAAGGAGATTTTTAGCTCATTTAACCAGTTACTTAGTGGGGACAGTGGAAACTGAACTGTGATGTTTTTGTAGGTCTGTAGGATGCACGGGGGGGGGGGGGGGGGGATTTTAAATGAGTACAACCTTTGATACTGAGTTCTTTTCAGAAAAAAAAAAGATTTTTTTTCCCAAATCAGTTTTCTGAGTTCATAAGTAATAATGAAGCTTCCTGGAGCCCTGAGTGTCTATTGTCAACAGTGGCACAGATTTCTTATATAATTCTGGGACTACCATGCTGGAGCATGGGTGTTTCAAAATTCAGTTCAAGATGCTTCTGGGGGAAGTCACTGATGAGGAGTCCTTTCCTGTCTTAAGGATTCCTAGCCTCCTTACAGGGAAAGGTTTGCATTTTAACTGACCTAATTATTTAGTTTGTTTTTAAAGTCAAACTTCAGACGAGACCATGATCTTTTAGCTGTATTTCTGTAGTTTCATGGATATTTTGGAGCATGGCATGCTTTCATTTTGATTTTTTTTTTAAAAAGCTCTCCCCAAGTGTTGCTATACTTTAGAAATGACAGCGAATGTGTGACAGAAAATACAACTTTTGGGGGAGGTGGGTGGGTGTCATTTGTTCTGCTTCAAAAAGTATGCCTTTGTAAAAATGAAAGCCACAAATACCTTCAGTGAACCCAAGCCTCAGGTGTGACAAACTGGGAGCAAGCTTGTTTGTCCCTGGTAGGTAGAACTTGTCTCTGATCATTTTCCTGGTCAAATTGCATGTTTCTGAATATTCATATTAAGATGTATTTTTTTGCATAATAGGAAAATTCTCAATTTTTCTATGAATGTATATGTACATACAAATGGTTTTTTCTATTGCATTTTTAAAATAAGCTAGTAAGCTAGAATGAGGAAAAAATAAACTCATGTTTTAAGTTTCTAGCCCAAAGTAATGAATACCCAAGAGTTCTCGTTTTCATGAACTCCTATCTAGAGGGAGGCTGCACTGTGCTCCCTTCTCCCATGCCCGTCTCCTTTCGGAGTTGAGCCCATCTCTGTGGGTAAAATAACTCTTTTGTTTTCTGGTTATAACTTTCTTGGTGCAGACATCAGCCTTTCTTTTTTAACCTCTGCTTGGCCGTTTAGAAGCAGGGAAGCCCTTGAATGTCACTTACCCACGAGGCTTCCTTTGTGCCTGGTTGCCTCTCACAGGTGAAGTCCATTTTTTTTTTAAGGGTAACAATTATGTCACAGGAGTTTCCACTTGAGGGAGTTACTTTTGCCACTTACAGTCCCGTCAGTTCTCAAGGCTCCTTGCAGTTGATCAGGGCTTGATCTAAAGACAATGAAATGTCCTCGAGAGCTGTAAATGTATCCATGTGAGCCAGCCTGAAAATGTGATTTTTAAAGGAGACTTTTTATTTTTATATTTGTTTTTTTTTTCAACTTTTTCTCTGAGGTTGCATATCAACTTTGGGAGAGATTATGACCTTCCGTAGCTAAATCATGTAATTCATCCATGAGATTCCAAATGTCAGGTGACTGCCTTCGCTGCTCTGTGGGCAGTGGTCTCACTGGGGGGATCTGCACCTCAGGAGCTCTGCCCTGTGCCACATGTGCTGCCCACAGGGCTCCTACTGCTTACGAACAGGAAAAAAAATGTCAACAGTTTTCTTCCAAAATGTCACTTGACCTTATTTCCTTTAAAATTCTGTGCTTGTGATGTGTTTTCACACAGTAAAGAGAGTGTGCTGAGCCCTCCCATGGTTTTTTAAAGTGTAAAACATGTATATTTTTAAGGTTGCTGGGGTAAAAGTGTTGTGTGTAGGCTATAATATTTGAGTCGTTGGGTTAATACGTGCATCATGTAAACCTGTCTTAGATGTATGTGTGTACTCATTAATATAGTTGTAAGAACTTTGTGACTCTATATGGTATGCTGTCTGCTACTTAACTGAAGTCCGATGGTTTAGGCGGCACACTCCCTCAAATTGCCTTGAGAAAATCACCCCAATTGAGCATTTGCTTCAGATGGTTTCAGGTGCAGTGTCAAGCCTGAAACTCTAAATCAAACAACTCAGGGATGAATAATTTATGGGGGGGGGGTTGCTTCTTTTAGTACATCGGCAAGGATTTTCATTGTAGGATTTCCACCTCCAACATGGCCTTGAGTAGCACCTCAGCCATTGTCTAAATTGAACCGTAGTGTGTTCTAAGCTGCACTCACACAGAGTGTCTTGACAAAAGTCAGCACCACTCCTCAGTTCTGGGGGGCTCCTACATCCCTGAATCCTGTAGGCAGGGGACAATTCTCAGAGGCTGACTTTAAATTTGGTGCTGTATCCTCTCCCTGGTCCACACATTCCCCTAGCCTGTGCCATCTGAGCAGAAGCTGAACACACAGGGCACTGTCGCCATGAAACAATGCTAGCCAGACTGGTGGTGGAAATAATCCAGTCTGCAGGGCACCCCATAGAGAGCCATCAAACCGAGTCTGCTCTGGAGCTGTCTATGAGAGTGTGAACATTCAGAAATCAATGCTGCATCTGCTGGTGGACCCTCCGGTTCCCTGAAACCCCCACCTGCCTAATGCATCTGGGCAAGAGCTTTCAGAAGCCAGCTTCCTTCAGGATAAATTTAATACGTCTTGAGGGCCAGGCGCAAGCAAATTGATTCTATCTCTGCAGCAGGAACACTCGTAAACATCTGTAAGGATACAGATCCTCGGCGACTCCAGGATGAGAGGATGCTATTTCGTGAAATATTCTAAGCCTACTCCCTTCATACCTCATGCCAGCATGGCATTTTTTAATTAGGAAGTTGATTAAAAAGGGCATGGCAGACCAGGGTGTATGGTCCTTTGGCATTAATCCAGCTGTTTGTTGATGGAATGGTGGAAGGCGTTGCTCACCACCCATTTCAGGAAAGAGGGAGAATCGGAATTGTTACAGGGCAGAGGGGTGGTAAGAACGGGCAATCCTGCGCTGTGCGCCGAAGGCAGTTGGTGGTGGCTTCCTCTGTGCTAAGCTTTCCTGCAGACAGACTTGCCGGCTTCCTCCATGACCCAGGTCACGTGTGCTTTGCAGATACCTGGGAACACCGGGCAGCTCTGTGTATTACACTGAGGAATTCTGGGCTTCTGGCTTTCCAGCAGTCAATAGGAAAAGTCATAATTGTTTGCGTTTTCTGGATGGACATCTCTTTTGGCCACATTTCCCGTAGGCTGCCGTCAGCAGTGGCACCTCTTCTAATCTCTATGGTGCAGCACTGTTAACCTCAATAGTAACTGGTTTTGTTTTGGCTATTTTTTTTCTTTCTTTTAAAGGGAATTCTTTTCTTTATAGGATCTTTTTAGAGCTTGAAGTATATTATCTCAGGAATAAAATTTTATGCCTACTTGTAGTGTTCCCATGGCTAATGTGGTGTGAATAAGTACCCTGTTATGAATTTAACCCTGTCCATCCTTCTCATTGTTTGAACACTTCCTGAGATCAAGTGTGCCTAAGAAAGTAGAAACAGATTGGCAGCTAAGACCGACACTGGGACCCCCAAGCTGAGGGAGGGACCCTGGGGCTTTCACATGACCTCTTGAGGGAGCTGCTCAAGGCTCAAGACAGGGGACACAGGGAGATGTCTTCACTCCAGTGGGACTGATCAGCTGATTGGCAGCCAGCCTGTCTTTTGTTCTCTTCCCCTCTGAAACTCCATGCAAGTTTGCTACTTATTTTTAGATTCTGTGTTTTAGGAAAGTTCAGTGATAGATCACTAGCAATCAGCAGCCGTGATGGGCAGCCTCTTCTCCTAGCAGCCTTCTCAACTGCAGCCTCTTCTCCTAGCAGCAAAACATAGTTAGCACTGAAGATAAAGAGTATAGCTTCTTAAAGTCAGTTTCTTCCTCCACTCTTATTCCACTGATGGAATATCTATGCAATGAGGACACCTTAAGCTCCTACTGTGTACAGAGGAGAGAGAGAGAGAGAGAGAGAGAGAGAGAGAGAGAGAGAGAGAGAGAGAGAGAGAGAGAGAGAGATCCTGCAGGTAGTCAGGGCCTAGGTATTTGTCTGTCTGTCCTACTGTGTGCAGAGCCAAGAGAGAGAGAAAAACATCCTGCAGGTAGTCAGGACCTAAGTATCTGTCTGTCTGCC